TATCCTCCTTCTGTGTCTGACTCCAGTAAAAACCCAAACATCTATTTGAACACGAACACCAGTTTTCCTTCCCCTGTCTCCTGCAGCTGTTTAAGAATCACAAAGGAAGGAATATTCAGTAGCCTTGACAGATCCCTGACAGAGAAGCACCAGTGGCAGAACCAGTTGTACATAGCCTTGCTTCAGTAGAAACTGCAGTTTTTATAACCCAGACACCTGACTCCAGTAAAAACCCAAACATCTATTTGAACACGAACACCAGTTTTCCTTCCCCTGTCTCCTGCAGCTGTTTAAGAATCACAAAGGAAGGAATATTCAGTAGCCTTGACAGATCCCTGACAGAGAAGCACCAGTGGCAGAACCAGTTGTACATAGCCTTGCTTCAGTAGAAACTGCAGTTTTTATAACCCAGACACTGTTCAGGTACTTTTTTTACAAGAAAACCAAGCACATCAGATAGGAAGAAGCATTAAGGCTCAAAGTAGGTGAAGTTTACCTAGAAGTGCAGTTAGCTGCTCCAAGGGCAGGTTAGCAGATGCTCCTCTTGCCTTCCAACCAACACCCAGGGGATCAGGCAGCACGTTGACATACCTCAGTGGCCAATGCTCTAGGTCCTAGCTAAGGTGAAGCAAATCCTGCAGTGATTAATGTTTTTCCCCCTGCTCTGCTTTCCTCAGCTCTGTAATTGAAAACTGCTAAAGCAGGTCACTTCAAGTATGTGTGGTATCTTAGGAACTACAACTTAGTGATCATAAATTTGCATTACAAATGCACACAGAGCTCCTCACCTGGCATAAATTCTCAATCTGAACTGCTTATTAACTGTACCACAGCTCCCCCACCCTCTAATTACCACTGGCCTAATATCTGTTCATTTGAAGCTTCATTTTATTTTAGTTTTCATTCTCTGTTCCTTTCTTCTGGATGCTTTTATGTAAAAAAACCCCAAAAAAACAACTAATAAGTTCTTCCTACTTCTCATTCACTCTTATGTGCTGAGGAAACACAGGAAAACCCACATAGGAATGATGAAAGAATCACCTAAAACTATCACAGGAAGGTGCAACAAGGAGAAATGTGGACAAAATGTCAAGGAAGCATGAAAGATGATTATTTTCAAATTCAGTGATGCTGTACCTGCCTTCTTTAAAAGCTTTCAGAGAGATGAGACTGGTTATTTTCCTCTACTCAGTAGGTGCAGCCAATAAGTTTAAGCAGAAGGATAAACTAGGAAGAAATTAAAGGCAACACAGTGTTTGGAGTGTTCACCATCAGCAGGTAAAGTGATCAAGTCCCTCAGTAGTCAAATAACAAAATATTTCAGCCATGGCCCAATGCTGCAGTCAGGGAGATTGAAAAGCACAACTTTAATCAAGCTGAAAGATTTAAGACGTTTCAGTGGTTAAAAAGATGTACGTAAGCATTAAGTCATTAAAATGACTTAAGCCTCTTAATCTTCTCAGAAGCAGATTAGGCTAAATTTAAACAAAACATGATATGAAGTCCAGTTTTGGTTTTTTTACACTACTCCCTCGGTAGAGAATTCAGCAGGGACAGTTCTGAACACTGATTTTCATAGGAGTCTCTGAAACAGACTCACTGAGGACTTACTTCCAACAGCAACCTGCAAAACCCACTAATGACCCATCCTAGGAATACATGTGTGACTGTCAGGAGAAAGGAAAACTCTTGGAAGGCAGCTCAGTGTTTGTTTATGCACTTATTAACTGCTGCCACAGCCTGTGACTTCAGTATTCCCTTTAAAGTCTGAGACCTTCAGGAGCTCAAATGGCAGAGGAGAGTCCATGTAACATCCACTTTCCTATGGAACATGTTGCTGCTTACTCCTTGGAAAATTTGTGAGTAAAGGAAGAGCCTTTCAGAGTAATTCCTCAGCCCTACTAAATATGAAGGACAAAAAAAGCTACTTGCCAACAACATGCTTTTAACAAACACCTGTCAATATTTTACATGGTGTTCGCAGAACAACTCAGGGTTTGCTCTTGAACCTAGCAGAATTAAGAACTGTAAGAAATAAGGTTTGAAAAATAAATTGTTGTACCCTTGATTATTGCACCACGAGCTCACAAAAAGCTGAGAATTAAGTCCTCACACTTGGCATCCTATTAAATGACACTGGAAGAGTAAACAAAGCATTTCAGAAGTTCCAGCCAAAAAAACCATCACTAGGGAAAAGAAAAAGAAACAAAGGAGGCTTAGTGGTATTTTAAGAAATGTCACCTAATTCTATCAGGAAGTTCAGTTGTAAAAATTTGGTGTTTTTCAAAGCACTACTGAAGAAGTTGAACATAGAACTTGGGAGAACTGTAGGAAACAAGAAATGCTTGTTCTAAAAACCAGGTTAACAACACACTCCAGCATGCTTAGTCCAACATCTTTAATTCCTTGTCATTCTTTCTCCAATTACAGCAGATGGATCAGGTACAGTTTGAGAATGACTTCCCTATGGTTAAAACTTGCTTCATTGAGAGTAGAGATGAGGAACCACCAAATTCATATTCCAAGGAGAGAAGGGATCTTTAATGATGGCCAGAACCAGAGGACTCTGAAACAAAGACATGGTTTAGACTGTTCCAACAGCAGAACAAACCAATCCAGGAACCAACCCAGAACTGACAACTGAACCTACAGCTGAGCACAGGAATTGGCAATTCAAGTAAAACAAACCCTTCAAACTTGGCCAATATTCCAATTCTTTCCCAAGTTTTAAAGCACTACCACAGACAAACATCTGTTCTTCCTTGGGTTTGCTGTGGTTCTTTCACAACTGAAGTTTATTTATGCTATTAAAGTCTACTGGGCAGTATTTTCTCTCATTACACATGTAAATGATGTTTGCATGTACAAACCCAACTGGGAGCAAATGGGTACAGAAAGGTCACTGAGATACAACAGCTCATGTGGAGATAATTCCCAGTGTGATGTCAGAACAAACTGTCCATGAACACTACTTTATAAAGATACAAACATACAGAGGACAAGTTTACACTTCCTACTTTCTTGACAGCTAAACCAGCAGCTATTCTAGAAATCCTGCTGATTTCAGTGACTGCATTGAATGGTCGTTCCCATTATTGAAAGGAATTCCTCCCCCACACAGTCAAGGAGTACAACTTAAATTCTACTCCTCAAACCTCTGCACAGGACAGAGGTAACACCTGTGCAGACTCACAGCTGTTTGTAGGTAGTAAAACCACCAATACAACCCAAACTCCCTCTTTTGAAGCAGTTTTAAACATTTGCTAAATCCCTAACTTGAAAACTGAACTTGGTTAAAATACTCTGAGCTAATTCTTACTGCACTCATGTAAAACATACAACAGGTATTAAGGTATTGAATACTTACTGGATTCCACTGCTTTTTTGCCTGGGGAAAAAAAAGGGAAAAAAAACATGCTGAGCAATGACAGTTAAAAATATATTTCCTACTTACCTTTTGCAGGCAAATACTGATCAACTTATACCTGTGATGGTTTGCTAATTCAGCTTGAGTAAGAGTTAGTAAGTGCACAACATGGACTTGCCATGGTACAGCTCAGTAAATTGTGTGTGGATTTTAAAGGCTGTTTTTAACTAACCAACACCCCAAGCATTTAGGAACTGTAACCATCAGGACTTCTCCTATAGTTCAAAGGAAACAGACATGGAATGGTGCTGGTTTACATACTATATGGATAAACACACACCCAACATAAGGATGTAAACCCAGGTGATGAGAACAGTTTGCTTTTAAAACTTCCTTTGTAAGTAAAATAACTCATTTTACATCCCTGTTGTCATTTTTCTGCTAAAATAGTGATTCCCAGTAGTCAGACAAAACCAGATGGAAAACATCATTCATGAAGAAAACAGTCATAAGAGGTTGTGCCATCTCTTCCCTTGGGGATACTTTAAATTAGGAATAAGGTGCTAAGCAACCCGAGCTAACTCGGATCTAATCACTTCAAGCAGAGGTTTGACCCAGGTGAGCTCAGAGATCCTCTCCAACCTCAGTTATTCTGTAACATATTCCTCTACAAATCCATGTGTTCCTTACAAAATTGTTCTCCAATGTGCAGAAAGGCCTACAGCAGTGAAAAACTTGAAAACAAAGCTTAGCCCATTATCCAGGTTTTGGCTTCAAAACCCTACACCATGACATCCAAGTCATCAATAAAATATCATGACACAAACACAAACTTGAATCAGTCTGTCCAGTTTGAACTGGCCTTGAAATGAAAGCTTAAAGCCAAAGTTCAACTGTTTTTTCCTCTCTGTGTGCTCAACCGCTTAGATTTACTTAAGCTTGTAAGTGCAGTGTAAATTTTGGACATGACACACCTGATTTGGACAAAGCTAGAGGAATGCTGAGGGGGTATCACTCAGCTGTTCCCACAGCAATGGGAAACCAGTTCCTTTCCCTGTGAACTTTGTTTACACCTTAGAATATTTTGTTGCTCATGACAGCTAATAAAGGGTTTGATTGGGAATTTTTCAGCACAGCCTCAAGTGAAAGACAGGACCTCTAAGACACCATGATCTGCTGTGCCCTTCTGCTTTAAGGGTCTTGGCCATTCACACTCAGTATGTTTATATCCCATGTTCTGTTTCTTCCTCTGGGAAAGTGATCCAGTATCACCAAGTAACACACACTTGTATGCTCAGTGATGTAACTTGCATTTTGAGCTGCACAGCCCAAAATACTCTTTCACACAAGAAAACCATTTAGAAACTGGATTTTTTTTCAGCTCTTGAGCAAGTCAGATGTGCATTTTTAAAACCAAATTCCATGTTACCTAAGCTCCATAACATGGGCACAGTTCCACTGCCATTTGAGTGTCTTTGTCAGTGTAACATGAGCATGTTAAACCCTCTAAATGTTTGTGGCAAAGACCTGGCCCTAAGCAAGAGTATTCACTTCTCTTTGTGTGATTTGATACAGATATCCTCTTCTCTAAGCCTTATTTACAAACTAAGGAAGACTATAATGTGTAACTTACCCCCAAAGGAAAGTTTGTAGTAGACATAAGCTGTTAGTGCCACACCAACCCAGATTTCTTGGTACACAGTAGTGAAGTAGAATTTCATGGGTCTCAGTGACTTGGGAATCATGTTCTGCATCATCTGAAAATTATAAAAGGTTTTGCCATGGTAAGTTTTGCACACACACTGATCTATATTCTATCTATCTATCTATCTATCTATCTATCTATCTATCTATCTATCTACCACACTCCTGACACATACCAGCAGCAGTTTACAGGTTAAAAATATCCCCAAACATTCAGAAGTTCTTCTTCCAAAGCAAAGCAATGAAAATTCAGAGTGAAGGCTACAATTTATGGGCTAACACAATACAAAACAATAAATTGCAGCTGATGAAAGGGTTCACAGATGAGTCAACAGAGCATTCGCTGAGGAGCAATGACTAGACTCCTCTCTCCCTGTCAGCGACAGCTTTTTTTAAGGCTTCCAGATTCCCCCAGGAGGAAAGTCTCATTCCAGACAAGCCAGAGAGGCTCCTCCCTTGCACTGCCAATAATTTAGCTTCCTTCCCTCCCAGCTAAGATGTCTCTTCCAGCATGGTAATTTCCACTCAAAATAAATGATGTTAAGCTAATGAATTCATGTTTTATCATGACTATTTGACTTTCAAAACATGCCCCAAGAGCAAGCAGCCTGTCAGTGGCTTTTCCTTTTCCCTTTCGATGCAGCTTTGTTAGTCAAACAGAAAACTTGAAGATGTTTTAAAATAAAGCTTATCCTAACTCAAATAAATGTTAAGTTGATCACAGTGCACTGAAATGCCACAATTTCTACTGTTTTGTATGCAGCACTTTGTCACTTGTAGTCGCTGTTTACAGTTATTATAACCCAATAAGGTCAGATATACACAGACAGACAGTATAGATGTAATATATATATATATGTATATATAACCATGTCTACACAAACCTGAGTCCCAGGAGAAAAAAGCAGAGTTAAACTCTCCTGAGGAAATGGTTATTTCCTTGTCTGCAATCACTAAAAGTGAAGCATTCTTTGGCAAGACTCAAAGGGAAACGGATGCAAAAACAAGTGGAAAAAGTCTTAAAACTCTTAAAGAGTGAAAGCAACTTTGTGATAATTCAGGTATTAATTACAGGCAAAGCCTTATTTATCTTTATTTGTTTATGGACAGTCATTGCAGCCACTGTTATGACTGTGGACAGAGTTCCTGGAACAGCACTGTGTGTTCACGTCGTAAAGACACAGTACCACCAATACCAGTAAGGACACAGCTCCTGCACTGGTTTTCCAGTATTTGTGGTTTCAGACAGTGTCTGACCAGCAGTCACTGTGGTAGAGCAGAGTATCAAACACACTAAAAATCAGGAGCCTGATAGAAAGGGAAGGATTTCCCTATGGCTACAACACACACTAGAATTGGCAGCTAACTGCACACAGTTCTGGTGCCCTCAATGTGAGAAGGACATGGAACTGCTGGAGCAAGTCCAGAGGAGACCACGAAGTTAATAAGAGGACTGGAGCATCTCCCCTGTGAGGACAGGCTGAGGGAGTTGGGGCTGTTCAGCCTGGAGAAGAGAAGGTTGTGTGGAGATCTCAGAGCACCTTCCAGGAGCTGAAGGGGCTCCAGGGAAGCTGCAGAGGGATCTGTGTTAGGAGCTGCAGGGACAGGACAAGGGGCAATGGGTACAATGAAAGAGGGAAATTTAGGCTAGATATGAGGAAAAGGTTTTTGCTGTTCTGGTGGTGAGACACTGTCCCAGGTTGCCCAGGGAGGCTGTGGCTGCCCCAACCCTGGCAGTGTTCACAGCCAGGTTGGCTGAGCCTTGAGCAACCTGCTCTGGTGGGAGGTGTCCCTGCCCAGGGCAGGGGCTGGGGCTGGATGATCTCTAAGCTCCATTCCAACCCCTAAAGCTCTATAACTGTATGACTCTAACCCATTGCTAAGGCCTGCACAGATCTGCCCCGCAGGC